TATATATGTGAGCACATGACTTGGTGTCTAATAGTGTAGTGGCTTCTCTGTATCTATACTATTATATATGTGAGCACATGACTTGTGTTTAATAGTGTGGTGACTTCTCTTTCTGTCACGTGGCACATTTTTTTATCACAAAATAAAAAAATATTATTCAAAGACGTGAGCAAGATTTGAACTCAAAATCTTAGGTTTCATTAAGAACATTCTTACTATTTAGACAACATACATACTATGATATTAATTACTTTATTATTTATTTTTATACTTACTTATCTGAATTACACACGCAATACATATGCCACCCACTAGTATACATATATTTATACTATTATGGCTTAGTTTGGAAAATGAGTTGACTTGACTTTTTTTATTATTTTAACCTGGAATTAAAAAGCTTGATTTGGGAAGGACTTTTGACTTTTTTATAAGAAAAAAAATGTAATAATTATAAATTAAATATAATATTTTATTTTATTAAGACTAAAAAACTTATTTTATTTTTTATGATTATTTTAACCCTAAACCCACCCAAACCATCTTCCCAAACAACACTTTAAATGAGTGAATCTCACAATTTGACATTTAAAAAATAAAAAATTGCAAACGTACTCATGATGGCCTGGATTTATTTATTTTGAGAACAACAATAATAGGTGATCAGAAAATTCATGACTCGAATGATTCGAAACATTCAAAAAAAAAAAAAAAAAAAAAGCCCACGTTTCCTCGCCGCATTCCTACACGTTTTTACCCACCCAAGCAACAATCAGCCAATCATCTCTCAATCTCTCCGTTGGTTTCATAGCTTTCTTTTTCTTTTTAACTTTTTGGTTTCTTCCTCTCTACTTTTTGGTTTCTTCTCTCTTTTTATAATAATTTTCTCTTTCAAAAAAAAGTACAAAACAAAATTATTATATACAATTATCACAAAAGAAATACAAACAAGATTATTATTATTTTTTAAGGTATATGATCTAAAACTCATTAATTTTGTTTAGTTATTTTTTTTCCCATATAAATTTTGTAAGTGTTTAGAAATCTTAGTGACAATTGACATCAACTTTTGAATATACTATTTAATGTTGTGTTCTTTTTGAGATTTTAGTTTCATGGTATATGCATGAACTTTTTGATATGTTATTTAGGTGTTTGTTCTCATGACTGAAATTGATATTTTAGTTTCATATGCAGCAAAGTTAGATTTAGTTTTAGTTGCTTGAAGTCATAGATATTTTTTATTTTTGTAGTTTAATTTTGTTCATTATTATTATAATTCTTTTTTCCAGATTACTTTATCACATTGTACTATTGAGAACAAATAATCTTTAAGCGGTTGTCGATCAACACCAATCGCCTTTGACGGTAAGTATTCTATAAGTTTTTGGTTTGTTTTTATTTATTGTTTACATTCAATTTGTTTATATTTAATACACCGTTTGAAGCTTTTGGTAATTAAATCCTATAATTTTTGAAAAAATGAAAAATTCAAATTCTCAATTTGCTGATTACGTTGACTGAAAAACAATAAATAAAAAAATTGTATAACATGTATATATTATGATGTGAATTTTATGCTCATATATTTTATAAAAATTTGTCTCATTTTTTTTACCATTTAAAAGTTCAATCTGAACTATAAATTTTGTTTTAAAAAAAACAACTGGAATTAATAGTTTTGTTTATGTTTTAAATATTCTCAATGATTGTTTATTATTTATTTTTATTGGGTATAAATTTTTTTTTGGGGGAATAAATTTTGTAATTTTTTAAGAATTTTGAATTTGTTTATTTTTTTTATTTTCTTTGGTATAAAATCTTTGGCTTTTTAATAGTCTTGAATTTATTATATTCTCCGTCATAGAAGCTTTTGTTTATTTATTTATTTATTTATTTGTTTATTTTAACTATAAATTCTATAATTCTTAAGTAATATCACTCTCATTGAACAATCTTTCCAAAATTTAAACTTGAGAGCACATCTTAATGATTGTTTATTTATTTATTTTTATAGTTTAATTTTGTCCATTATTATTTTAAACTATAAATTTGGTTTTAAAAAAATAACTAGAATTAATAGGTTTGTTTATGTTTTAAATATTCTCAATGATTGTTTCTTATTTTTTATTTTATTTTTTGGGTATAAATTCTGTTTTTTTTTTTAAAAAATAAATTCTATAATTGCTTAAGAGTTTTGAATTTGTTTATTTTCTTTGGTATTATAAATTCTTTAGTTGTTTAAGAGTCTTGAATCTATTATATTCTCAATCATTTAAACTTTTGTTTATTTAGTTATTTTTTTGCTATAAATTCTGTTAAGTAATATCATTCTTCTTGGATAATTTTTCTAAAATTTAAACTTGAGAGCACATCTTAATAATTGTTTATTTATTTATACAAAACCACATGTGATTGTTTAAAAATATTAACAATTAATAATAAAGTCTAGTCTCCTAAAACTTTTACCACCTGTAAATTAGATAATAAAAAAAATATTAAATAAATACAACCACATCTCTCACACACCCACATTCCCTCAAACATCTCACCCGACACAACTCTAAACTTTCACTCCCACATTTTCATCCCAATTTGATTCTTCTTCTCTGACTGTTCTCTTTTCACTCCACAAACACTTTTTCTTCCCACGTGTCCTTCTTCATATTTGTATTCATGGAATTCTCTGTTTCTTCTCCCAGGTAAAACTCAATCACATTTTTTGAATAACAAACGAAAATAATACTAATTTTTTAATATATTTTATATACTATTTGCAAGATTTGTAATTTTCAGTCTCATGTCAATGCCAAATTGAGATGTTTTATGAATTCATAATGTATAGTTTTTTATTTTATTTTATTTTATTTTTTGAAAATTAGGAAATATTATATTTTTTTATTATAAAAAATGTATATATATTATGTTGTACATATTTTATTTATGAAATATATTAAAAGCAAATGTTATATTGCACATAATTAGAAATATTTAACTTGCATTACATTGCACTCATAATACATATGTATTATTATAAAATATATATAAATTACATAATATAATTTTTTTTTTTAATTTATACACGCATTGCGTGTGTCTTGACTGCTAGTATATATATATATATATTATATACATAGTCTAAATCCTAACAACACTCACACTCATACTTCCTCACTCTTTTCTCTCTCTCTCTCTTCTTTATCACCACTGCCGCCACCTCCACCTCCACCTCCATCACCATATGGTGGAATTATTTAATGTGTTTGGTTTCAATTTTTTGAATTCAATTTTTTAGAAATTGAGTTTTTCATTTTTCATTTTTTTTTTGTTTTTAATGAATATTTTTACAATTTCACGCAATTTTTTTAATTTGTTAGGTGCACCTTACTTGGATGTATCTAAATAGTAAAATATTTGTGAAAAAATATTTTAAAATTTTAATAAATACGCAAAAATATGAAAAATGTAATGAATTTTCTTATTTTTTTAACTTTTGGTAATTAGTAAAATTTTTAAAGACTTTTTTCATAAATATTATACTTTTTAAGCGTATTTACATTAGGTGTATCTAAAAATTAAAAAACAATGCTTAAAATATTATAAAAATTCAATGAAAACAAAAAAATATGAAAAATAAAAAAATAGAAATTTATGAAAAGTGAATTCTGAAAACTGAAATGAAACAGAGTGAATGATTTAGAATCATTCTTTTTAAAATTCACACAATTTAAATTGAATCCAAAAAACCTAATAAAGCAACAAATTTTTTACAAACTCTAATTTAATTATAAAGCATAATTTATTTATTGTTGAACTTTACAAAGCATAATTCTAACCATTCATAGTTTCTTCGTTTTTTTTTTTTTTTTTTTTTTAAAAAAAAAAATAGTGATGAAAGATGAAGACAATGTTTTAAAGTGTTTGTATACACACTCAAATATGTAATTTTGACATCTAAGCATCCATCATTAGCCAAATTTGCAAGAATCTTCTTCATGGATTTGATTTTTTTCCCCCCTCCATTTTGTGTGAAATGTTTGTTTCTTGTCTATTTATTTATTTACAATAGTACTACACATCAAGAAAATTTATCTAAAAAACTAAACATAAACGTAAGCAAAATTCTATTCATACATAAAATTTATATAAAAATACAACAAAAATAATGTAATAGTGTCATTCTTGTAAATATAAGTAATTTTTATGTGTGTTTTGTATATCATTATTCTAAAAATAAGTGTTTGGACCATATATATTCTAAATTTGACTCACATTTTATTAATTTTAAATCAGTACTATACACCTTACTTTCGTACGCTAATTGTCTAATTCTAAAAGTTTTGGGACTAAAATGGACAATTATAATTTAAAAGACTATTTTACCATCACCTATCTGTCTATCAATCCATTTGTTCACTTATCTATTCACGTGTTATCTATTTGTTCACGTATCACTCCACTATTTGTTTATATGTCACTCACTTATATGTCTACCTGATTTACTAATCGGGCACGACATTAACGTTTTTTCTCGCAGCCAGCGACATCCAATAATGAGAGTACAATTGAAAAAAAATAAAAAATTCTTTTAAAAAAGTAATTCGTCCTTCTCGTTGAACAATTTCATTAAACATGTTATTGTCACCAAAAAAAAAAAAAAAAATCAAATATTAGATTAAATACAATATGGCCCATCCGTCTGATTTTTTATTACCAATTATCCCGAAGTGCATAGTGACTAACATTTTTTTTATCAAAGGTAATGAAAAATGGAGATTAACAAGAAATAAAATTGTGGGAGACAAAACAATAAGCATCCATAATCCAGTGGATGATCATGAAGTGGTTTAACACAAGGCCATCCGGTCAACTAGAATACCTTCCACCCAAAGGCTACCCACGTGTCAACAACCCACTACTCCAACCCCCTACAATGGTGACCGGGAAACCTGGGATTGCCAGTCGCACCCCAAACCACATAAATTTACAACGGTCCTCCTTTCCTACTAGAAGTGCTATTGTTTCAGCCCCCTCTTCACTTTCTTGATCATCCCTCCTCTTCTCTTCCCCCCCCACCCAACAGACTCTCATTTTTCTTTCAGCTTCTCATTCTTCTTCTAACACTTTCAGGTTCTATACTTCTCTCTGCTTCATACCCAAATCTCTCAATTCTTGTTCTTTTTGGAATTTGTGATCTTTTTAGAGCTTGAAAATTCTGTTGGGTTTTTGTAAATTTGATCTACTATTTGGCCAAATTCAACCGTTTGGGCATGTGGGTCTGTTTGTTTCTTGGGAAAATCGCAAGGACAAGGAGATATAATGTGTCGGCAATGGATTCTTGTGTTGGGTTTTGAATTGGGATCGAGGAAATTAGGTGGACAGCTGTATGTGTGCATTAAAAACAAAATCAAATGGGTGAGCTGTTGCTGATCTGTGGGTAGAGAGACTTATCACATCAAGATCTGTGGATAAGAAGTTGGACAGTTGATTTTGATCAACTAATTAAACGGTTAAAGGGTTGGTTTAGAAGTAGTTGTAGTGCTTGATGGATTGAATTTTGATCGGTTGTGGGGGTTGAAAAATGGCTCCAGCCACCGATACGCCGCCGCATTGTACTGAATTAGATGGTGGGTTTTGCAAGGAAAATAATGTGTCTGCCATGGAAGATGAGGATCCAGAAACATCGGATAACTCGAGCCAAGCTAAGGCCGGGAAGCCTCCAGCACCGAGAAACCTCTCGGTTATGCGGCATAGCATGAGCCAAGCAATTCTGGCCGGTACAGCTGATGTGGTGAGTCAATTCGATTGTTACCCAATTACTGATGTTTGTGATTTGTGGTTGGATTTGGATGATTGCATTGTGTTGTACAGTTTATGTGTTAGAATCCAATGTTGAAGTCATTATTAGAGAAACAGCTGTTTGGGAGGCAGAAAAAGTTGCCAGAAAATGAATTGTGTGAACACTTCATTTTCTGACTACTTTTCAAGCATTGTTGAATTTATGGAGGGCCAGAAAAGGGACTTTTAAAAGGTCTTTAATCAATAAATGCTAGACTTTACGTTCATATGTGTTAAAAGAACATGAGGTGATTCCTTTGAAAGATCCCTCAAAGTATGAGATTTTTCAAATTGAAATCCCAGATCTTAGTTGGATTGGAGCCTTGTGCACCGCCATATCGAAACCTAGCTGTTTGGACAAAACTACAAATATTGCAAAAGGGACTTGAAACATCAGTGGCCAAACATGCCCTGTGTTTAGTATGTATGTACTAAACTGCATAAAAACAGCAGGAAGAGGGAATGCATCCCATATAGTTTTTTTTTTTTTTTTGGGTAATGGTGGTCAGTAGAACTCAATGTTCCTTGATTTGATGCTACTTGAATTTCAATTACAATTTTCATGCCATGCCACTATTTACAAAGCAATACCTGTGTGCATCTACCAAATAGCCTTTTTCATTTTGCTCTGTGTGCACTTGACCATGTTTGCTAAGAGCCTCTGTGTTTCTTCTTTAGTTGGTAAAAGCATTAGTTATGTTGATTTGAGTTTGTGGTTTTGTGATTCTGTATTTCAAAGCTAAACTTTGACTAATTATTCCCACTTGCGATCTATGTATAGAAATCAAAGTCACCGTCAGGTGAGAATTCCGGGTTTTTACCTATCTTTCGTTCAGGAAGCTGTTCTGAGATGGGACCAAAAACATTCATGGAGGATGAGTTCATCTGTGTGGATAATCTTCGGGAACATCTTGGTGCAGCTTTAGATTTCCCTTCTCCTGGAGCATTTTATGGGGTGTGTTACTTATTTCTGTTTATTCTGTTGCTAATAAGCAATCTATTGATGAGAAAAATCAGATGATATAGTCCAACTCTCTGTCTTTAGCCATCTTGTCATTAACATTGGGGTACGGTTTACATAAAAACTTTCAACGCATCATATGAGGAGGTGGTTTAAAACCTGTCACAAACATATCAAACTTTTCATTTCAGTAAACATTACAATGGTAGTGGTATCACCATCCAATAACAAAACACCATGTAAGCACAGTAAACCTCACTATGCAGCTGTGGTAGCTATTGAATTGCCTTGAATCAACCAGTTAATCTGAATAGCGGCGTTTGCCATCTGTTTTGTTGTTTAGTTATTGGTTGGTGATACCACTTGTCAGTGATGACATGGCATCACCGTTTTATTGAATTGTTTCTCACATTTTCAAAGAAGAAACTGCCCTATCAAGGATCATGTCTAGAGTTCCCTTATTAATTTGTCCTTTGAATCATTCAGCATGCTCAAGTTACTTGATAAATTTTGTTATCTATTTCGCAGGTATTTGATGGACATGGTGGTGTAGATGCTGCATCATTCACTAGAAAGAACATCCTTGATTTTATTGTTGAGGACTCCCATTTCCCAACTGGGGTAAAAAGGGCCATTAGGAATGCTTTTGTTAAAGCTGATCATGCATTAGCAGATGCTAAATCTCTTGATAGCTCCTCTGGCACCACCGCTCTGACTTGCCTTATATTGGGACGGTGAGGAACTGAATTTCTTTTGATTGACACACACTTGTAATATTTGTACTCTGTTGGTCACTTTGGCACGCAGTGAGGGATTGGACTCTCTGGGTATCAAACCTACACTAGAACATTCTTTGATTGGATGAATTCACTCCTATTCCTTTTCTTTGCTTACATGGTTGTCCTTCATTAAAATTCCAAATGGAAAAAAAAAAAAATCGTATGGTTTTGATAGTCTGTCTCATTAGAGTCTTTCTGTTTCTTTGCTTTTCCTTTCTGTGGATTGGGTGGGTGTATGACTGACTTTTAATTTGGCTAGATTTGAAACATAAGGTACTAAAACAACCAGATGACTTGCATGTTCATATAGGCACATTATACAATTTTTTGAAGTTCCATGTCAGGGAATGAAATTTAGGTTGGATTCAATATCGAGTTGAGATTTGATGCCACTTGACCAATCTTAACCGAGTTGCTTCTTTCTCAGTAGTTGTCAAAATTTCTATTCATCTGCCTTGGGCATTTTCATTATTTCAATCAAGCATTTGTCTAAAACCATACCTTTTCACAGGACTATGCTAATTGCTAATGCTGGGGATTCTCGAGCTGTTCTAGGCAAACGAGGAAGAGCAATTGAACTGTCCAAAGACCACAAACCCAACTGCACATCTGAAAGACTCAGAATTGAGAAACTAGGTGGTGTTATTTACGACGGCTATCTCAACGGACAGCTATCCGTGGCACGTGCACTCGGAGACTGGCACTTGAAGGGCCCCAAAGGTTCACTCTACCCCTTGAGCTCCGAGCCAGAGTTGGAAGAGATTGTCTTGACAGAGGAAGATGAGTTTCTGATAATGGGCTGTGATGGCCTCTGGGACGTAATGAGCAGCCAATACGCGGTAACAATAGTGAGGAGAGAGCTCATGCTGCACAATGATCCCGAGAAGTGCACGAGAGAGCTTGTCAGAGAAGCACTCAAGCGTAACACATGTGATAACCTAACTGTGCTTGTGGTTTGTTTCTCTCCGGACCCTCCGCCTCGGATCGAAGTACCAAAATCTCAGAGAAGGAGAAGCATATCAGCTGAAGGGTTGGATCTTCTGAAGGGCGTTTTGAGCAATGTCTGAAAAAAAGAATTGTTTTCAACAGATTGTACAGACTGGGTTGGTTGGTTGGTTGCGCATTGTTTGGGGGGATTTTTTCAAGTTTCCGATGATGCCCGGAACTGAGGCTGGGCATTGCTGATTCTTGAAGTGAAAGCCCCCCCGTGTATCTGACCTTTTTTGTATCATTTTTAAGGTTTTCAAGTATTCGTTGTCCTTGTTTTCAAGGGTACAAGATTGCATAATTATAGTGGTCACGAATGTCTGAGTCTAGGACTTGAGTAGGATTAGAATGTCCAGAAATTAGAGCTAGGTATTTTACCACCAAACTTTGGAGTAAACCCAAGAATAAGGGCGTTACTGGGTGAGCCAAAAAAAAAAAAAAATGAAAAAAGAAAACAAGAGCCATATGGTGAACTTCGAATTTTGAATTTCTCCATTTGAATTTGTGGAGAAATTTATAGAGAGAATAGAAAAGCAAATGCAGAGTGGAATAAAGTAGAAGCTAGTCATTGTTTGACTGTTTAAAGAACTTCTGTTTGTTTTAATTGTAAGAGTAAAAGTGTAACATCTGTCATTCAAAATCAGCAATTTATGTGACCTTTTTCTGTTATTTTACACACACAAAGTGTATAGCATCATTTCTAGTTATTATAATTATATAAAAGAACAACATTTTGACAATTTTTTTGTCATTATTAAATTTTTTCAAAAATTATGTCAATGATTGTCTATGCGGAAATCATCTTACAAATTTCCCATAATTATTTGGCATTTATCAATTCAAAGGGGCAAAAAAAAAAAATGCCCCACCTTTCAGTTTTGAAATTGAAAAAATGTTAGAAACTCATGTTTGACGTGGCAGGCTTGGTTTTAGGTAATTTAATTTTAAACTAATCAATAACTAACCCAAGATAAACTTATGGGTTATGTTTTAGGGATTTCAAAGTTTTCGTTATTTTTTAATTTTTAAATTAAAATAACTTTCCGATTGGAAAGCATAACACTTTGATACACCCCCTAATATTTATGTATCTTTTATTTCTATTATTATTATTTTTTTAAAAATGATTCTGCTATATAAATGGGACCAAAAACATTGGATACAACCTTTTTGCTCTCAAGCAGAATAATTGGGCTTAAATTTTTTTGAACAAATTATTATGTTATTTTAATTTTTATAATTTCAATTTTAATTCTTCTCTCAATTTAATCAAATTAATTACAATTGTTAGTATTTTTTTTATAAAAAATATGCAAATAAGTTTTAAAAGCAAAATTATAAACTTGTTTAATTCAATAAATTAACTTCAACCAATTCAGTGGTCATTTGCTACGACAAAGATTAACGATGTTATTAATTGAATTGATACAGAATTTAAAATTATTAGAATTAAAATAACATAAGAGATAAAATATAGAAGTAACAGATATAATATGTCTACTATTTGTTTTTAAGGATTGAACTTTTAATTAGACCATAGTTGAGATTTTTTACTAATAAAAATATATGAAAACAAGGCCTAATTAAATTATTTCATAAATCTTTATCGATAAGAAATTTTCATTTAATAAACCTTGCTAATGACAAAAATCTCTATTTTTAATAATTTTTACCGATAAAAACCCCCATCGGTAGCCCAATTCCTTTTATTTTTAAAATTCTCTCCAAGTTAGGGCCCAAGTTAAGCCCATACCTCACTCCTATTATACACACACACTCTCTCCCTCTCAAAAGCTATGGCGTCGCTGAAAGAGATCCTAACCCGGCGACCAGTGGCGGCGACGATCCGCCTGACCGTCCCAGCCGGCGGAGCTCGGCCAGCTCCGCCAGTCGGTCCAGCCCTAGGTCAGTACAGACTGAACCTTATGGCGTTTTGCAAAGACTTCAATGCTCGGACTCAGAAGTACAAGCCAGACACTCCCATGTCGGTGACCATAACCGCCTTCAAAGACAACACCTTCGATTTCACCGTCAAGTCGCCGTCGGTCACTTGGTACCTCAAAAAATCCGCCGGCATTGATTCCGGCAGCAGCCGACCCGGCCACGTCGTCGCCTCAACCCTAACTGTGAAGCACATTTATGAAATCGCTAAGGTAAAGCAATCTGATCCTTATTGTCAGTACATGTCTCTGGAATCTATTTGCAAATCGATTATGGGTACTGCTAATTCTATGGGGATTAAGGTTGTCAAAGAATTAGATTGATTGATTGTATTCCTAGGGTTTTTGGGTTTCAGTTGAATGTTATGTTTATGTTTATGTATTGTGTTTGAACTGAAATGGTTTTGTAGTGGATAGAAAATAATGTTTTTTTGTTAGTCTGTCTGTCTGAACTGGTTTGTGTCTATTAGCAAAGACTGAAGAGCTATGCATGATTTGTTTTTAAATTGGCTTTCTTTGATGAAGATTATTGCATGGAATGTATACTATCTCTGGAGAAAGAATTAATCCGTGTGGATAAGGTTGGGAGTTCTTTTTTTTTTTTACCAAATGCATGTAATTTTAAATCATATTTCCTGAATCCAATGTCATAATCTCAGTGAAACAACTGTGTTTTCAACAAATAAATAAATAAAAAAATAGAGCAAGTTATTTGAAGTCGTGTTTTGAACACAATTTTAAAGCTGGACTCCAAGAGAAGGACCTGCATTTGGTAAAAATGTCTGAAAACAAGCATGCGAGGTAAACAAGTGTAAAGGCAGCCTGCATTGTGTGAAAAAACTCATAAAATTAGCTTTTTTTTCATCTTCATCATCATCATCTTTTTTGGACACCAAACACAGAAAATGAAGTAAACTATTGTGATCAAGAACTGTGTAGATCACTTTCTGTGTCAAAGTCCACTGGGAAGTTTTACAGTGATTATGCGTTTTTATGCCAAAGGAAATCTTTCAGGCAGAAAGTTGCATGGGATCCTTCTGTCATGAATTGTGTCTATTAGCAAAGACTGAAGAGTTATGCATGATTTGTTTTTAAATTGGCTTTCTTTGATGAAGATTATTGCATGGAATGCATACTATCTCTGGAGAAAGAATTAATCCGTGTGGATAAGGTTGGGAGTTTTTTTTTTTTTTTACCAAATGCATGTAATTTTAAATCATATTTCCTGAATCCAATGTCATAATCTCAGTGAAGCAAGTGTGTTTTCAACAAAAAAAATAAATAAAAAAATAGAGCAAGTTATTTGAAGTTGTGTTTTGAACACAATTTTAAAGCTGGACTCCAAGAGAAGGACCTGCATTTGGTAAAAATGTTTGAAAACAAGCATGCGAGGTAAACAAGTGTAAAGGCAGCCTGCATTGTGTGAAAAAACTCATAAAATTAGCTTTTTTTTCATCTTCATCATCATCATCTTTTTTGGACACCAAACACAGAAAATGAAGTAAACTATTGTGATCAATAACTGTGTAGATCACTTTCTGTGTCAAAGTCCACTGGGAAGTTTTACAGTGATTATGCGTTTTTATGCCAAAGGAAATCTTTCAGGCAGAAAGTTGCATGGGATCCTTCTGTCATGAAATTCCCTATCCCTTTGTTTCTTCCAAAGCATTGCTATTCACACTATCATGTTTCTAGATTCCTGTTTTTTGAGAATCCTGCTACATTGTGCGGTTGAGTGCATTATTGAGATAGAGGGACAGAATTTTTGGGACGGGTTCCCTCACCATTGTTGGGGAATTGTGTTAATAGACCAAAACAGGTGTTAAGATAGGGTACATCACATTTGTAGATTTTGGTTACACCAGGTGACTCTGGTTGGTGGTGATAAGAACAGAGCTGATACAAGTTTGACTTTATATCAAACAACTATGTCCAGTACATGCTATTGGTTCGAGTTGGTTTTAGCTTCTTTGCAGATCATTTAATCACTAGTCTCTTTTACTCATTGAATGCATAAAGAGTTCTGAACTTGAAATAGCACAGATGGAGCAGGTGCTACTGCCATAGCTATGCTTTATATATGCAATTCTTAAAGTGGACATTGTCATTGTAGACTGCTTCAATGACTATGATTTTGCATTTCCATGCTTTCGAAGCTATTTCAGTCTTATAAAACTCCTTGTTAGTTTGAGACTAGGAAGGTGGATGAAGGTAGATCCTGCTGTACATGGCTGTTTAACTAGCTGTGAGTCTTTGAATTAGTTTTTGATCAAAACAGAGAATAAAAAAGCTCTTAGAGCAATGAATTGGGAGGATACAGCCTACAATGATGGATTGATACTTTGTGCTTGAGTAAAGTGGAATGAGATCAAATTGAGATCCATAATTTTATCATCATATAGCATTTGAAATGATAATTCTAGTTGGGCCAAATGGTTCAATTGGGAAAAAATAAGTAGAAATTGAATGCATTCTTAGTGAAACTCTAGTGGGATGCTATTACAGCAGCCAAAGTCAAATTATAACAAAGACCTCTCTAAAACTCCACTTCAATGGTCTGTCAAAGCTCATGCCAAATTATAACATTGCCAAACTTAGCTATTGAATTGAAGAATATGATGGGGTGTGGTGTTCATGGTGGTTATTACAGTTTTGGGATCTTGATGATGGGACTTTGCTTGACAAATAGAATTGAAATTCTTTGCAATGAAGGCCATGTTTCCAAGCCATTTCAGTGTTACACAATGGGTCTTTTGGGCTTCATCATGTGATGGACAAATGATTTAAGACAAAAGAACTAGGGAATCCATACTTAAGATTCCCTTACGAAGCATACTGTTAAGAGCATGTTTGGCTGAGAGCATGTTTGGCTGCAGCATACGCGGTGTTGGTGAATAGTACAAAGAAAGAAAAACCAGAAATAAAGATAATAAAAATTACAATAAATATGATATTTTGGAGACAAACAGGTTAGGCTGAACAGAATTCTCACTATTTTTAAGGGGATTTGAGCCCTGTACGTACAATTGGCAAAGCCCACAAATTGTTGCAGCAAAAATATCTTCTAGTTTGTTCCCTCCAAGATTCAACAGTTCGACTGATGGCATAATGGATGAAGAATGTGATGCTGATTATCTTGAAAAAGTGGACAAATACACCACAAATGTGTATAAATGTTGATATTATCTTTTGAGCCATCTTTTGGATCAATTTTGTGCTTATTATGATACCACATACTACACTAGCAAAATTTGGAAAGCTTTGCAGAGGAAATATGATACTAAAGAGGTAGGTACAAAGAAGTACAGAGCTAGCCGTTTTTTCTACTATCAAATGATATATAGTAAATCAGTGATGGAGCAAGTTCAAGATTTCTAGATAATCGTTGTAGAGGTTAGATCAGAAGACATTATTAAGATTGGGGACAACTTTGTTCTAACAGGCATCATTGACAAATTACTACCATCTTGTATAGAGTTCCAAAAGTCAATGCGTCACAAGTAAAAATAAACATCCTTAGCGACTTATCACACACATCCGTGTAGAAGAGGAGGCTAAAGGACAAGATGCATTAATGACACAAGATTGTAACAAACATTTCACCACTAATACAAACTAAATAAATATTAAATTACCTAATAGCCATTTTCCTAAGAATGCTCATTTGAAGCCATTCAAGAAAAAAATGAAAAAATAATAGTAGACCTACAATAAAGGCTTCTCGGCACAAAAGAGGTAGAACCAATAACCCTTTTTACAAAATCAACAAAATACTGTTTGTTATGTTTGTGGTTAGAGTGTGTATATTGCTCAATTTTGCAAGTTTTGGAAAGAACAGTTTATTCCACAAGCTAATGCTGCCGAAGAGCCATTTGTAGCTATCATTACAGACATTTTCATGGTTCAACGTTTGGAAAAATGGTGACAAACTCTGGTGCCAATAGCCATATCTATTGTGAGAAAAATTGGTTCGAAGATTATACTCCCTTTAAAACATGCGGCTCTATTACAACAAACCTGAGTTGTTTGGTTTCATTTTTAGAATGGAAAAATTTTACAAACAAAGTTTAGTAAAAGGAAAATTAAAGAAATAAAGACTTTTATTGACACTTAGAAAAAAAATATATAAATAAATCTATAATTTTGATATAATTATATAAATCTCTTTTTATAAATAAAGTACAAAATTAAAACTAATACAAATAGTGTGAAATTATAAAAATAAAAAATATATTTCAATGTAAAATAAATAAAAATATTATTTTTTAATTCACATGACTAGAGACATACAAGTTAAGTTTTATGTAAATTAAAAGTTGGAAAATTTTCAAATTTATAAATAAGTGATAAACTTTATACACGATAATTAAAATTAATTTTTTTTTTCATGAATCTATAATAATTTTTTTATTGTACCACTGATCCGTTATTTTCCCTTGAAAGTTTAACAAAGGTAGTGCAATTATACCAAACTTGTGAGATTCACAATATTTATTTAGAACCTTAGGAGAGGTTGGTGTAATTAGCTCAAAAATGAAACATATTATTTTCCTATGATTCTATTTTATGAGCAGCAATAATAAAGTTTAAAAGTCAAAAAAACAAATCTTTTTATTATTATTTTTGTCAAACTAGTTTCTTCTTCTTCTTATCCTTTTTTTTTTTTTAAATTTTTAAATTTACTTTTAAATCATAAAAACAAATTTCACTAACTCAACCAAACAAAGCCAAATTAGGAGGCTTTTCCCATATTAAGCCTATTTTGTATCTTAATTCCCAAACTAGGCCTAATTTGGACGGAATTTCCAAACTAGGCTAAAGCGCTATTACAAATTGCGCTTTCACTGTTTGGAGCCCAAAATGTGATGAATAGTAAAAGCGCTATTGCAAACCACACTTTTAATTAAGAAAACGTGGTTGCAAATCACGCTTTTAACATAAAATTTTTTTCTGAATAAAACGCTATTTGAAATCGCGCTTTCACAGAAAACGCTATTTGAAATAGTGCTTTCACTATGCATTAGTTTTTTCTTCAGAAAACGTTATTTGGGATCACGCTTTCACTGTTGATAAATGAAAGCGTGGATTGAAACCACGCTTTTAAAAGTTATATAAAACACCCAAGCCCCCTCATTTGCAATCACGTTTTTTACACTTACGTTTTTTCGTCTCTTGCTCTCTGCTCTCAGACTCTCTACCTCTCGCTCTCGATCTCCCTCTACTCAGACTCTCTCGCTCTCGATCTCGCTCTGCTCTCAGACTCTCACTGACGCTCTCGCTCTCCCTCTGCTCTCACTCTCTGTCTCTGCTCTCTCTCTCTCCGTGGTATGGCATCTAGCTTTGTCTGTATCATTTGAATTTTATGTATTTATTTATTGTATTTGTGAAAATGTGAATGTGTTTGTGAAAATGTGAATGTTAGGATTCTAAATGTCAATTATTAAATGTATTAGGGTTGTAATGTGTTAGGGTTTTATCAGTGTGGTTATGAAATTATGAAATCATA